CGCCATAGCCCAGCCACCATAGCTGGTGGGCTTGGACTACAGTGAGGCGCAGGGGTGGTCTTTGGGTGTAAGAGAGGACAGACGTGGGTGTAAAGGCAGGGGATAGGTGAAGGATGATGATGATGATGATGTGAGGGCACTTACCTTGTATTGGCAATGGTCTGCATGGGCGACATCTTCAAGTACTTTGGGTTGCTGCTGATGTCAACAGTCGCATTGTCAATTAGTAGGCTGTAGTAGTTGTGCTAGGAGTAGGCTGGGCGCTGAGCGCCAAGTAGGAGTGTGAAGGGACTGGACTCTTGTGTTGATGAGGAGAGAGTATGCTCTCCGTGATATTGGTTTTCAGTACTACGAACCTCCATTGGTGTATTATCAGTGCAATGCTGTTCTCTGGACACGGTGTGACTATCTGGCTTTCAATGTGATGGCGTAATCTGGAATTGTCATCTCGTTGTTGCTTATCTTCCTTGCAATTTGGTATCGGAGCTGGTTCATATTGTGCTTCATTGGTTCTTCGCAATAGTTATTGGTGCTTCGCATGACGTGTGGGGCAGTGATAAGGCATTGGCAATTTGGCGTTGAACATTAGGTGGCCCAGGGTAGAGTGGGCGCGCCAGGGAGCTATGTGGTGACATACGGGGTGTATGCTAGATGATGAGAGCTTGCTGATGTGATATATTAAGCCAAGGTGGAACGAAATTCTGCAATTGGTTGTGCCGAGGCAAAGACCGGTCATCATAATTGCGCATCAGGTTACCGGTGAGAAATCTGTGGTTGGGGGCAGCATTATGAGGTACATTGCTCTCTTCCTTGTCTACCCTCTTCGTTACTTCTTACCGTGAGGAACTGAGTTCTGTCTTGAGAGTCCTCTCGATTGCAATTTGTCCTAGGGTAATCTAAAAATAGATTTAATATATCCTGTAGGACCTGACATTAGATGCAACTACATCACCTAACTGTTTCTGTTCAGGCCGACCGTAAGTAGTTGTGTAACATATGCGGTTGTGTGTCATGCTAAGGTAGGATTCAGTGTGGATTCTAGTTTAGATCACACACACTGTAGCTCGTGAGTCAAGACAGCAGTGAGGAGGAGGGAAGGCTAGTGCAATCCCTTAGGATCACACGGAGAATCGCTCTTAGCCGACCGATCACTTTTCAGGAGTTAGCCCCTCGAGAGGAAAGGAGGCTACAAAGAGAAGCAAGGGAGAGGGCAGCGGCAAGGAGGAATAGGGACGCAGCAGCCAGCTTAGCGGCTGCAATGGCTACTGCGGCCTCTATGTCGCAAACCTCTTCTCAGTCTACTTCGTCACGAGTAGGGCAGGGTGGATCGGGTGCAGTTAGTCAATCTTCTGGTTTGCAAGTCAGCCACAGTCCACTCACACCTGAGGATTTAGAAATCCAACAGGCAGAAGAACTTCAGGATGAGCCTCAGCGGCAGTTGAATGAAGCAACAGAGAGGAGAAGAAAAGCCATACTCAGAAAAGCTAGACTAGGGAGTAGAGTGCAGGAGCTAGGCAGGCTGGAAGGACTAGATAAGGCGGCATTAGATCCTGTTGTCCGTGTGCTGCGTAGTGTCTTATTATCAGTGGCAGAAGCGCAAAATGTCCAGCAGGAATTGCTGGCCGAATTGGTGGCAGGCCAGAAACAAATCCTAGCTGAACTTTCGGCTCCTCGTACAGTGGTGAGGCAGCCACAGTTTGTTGTAGCTCCCCCTGCGAGTGCGGGTCCTTCATCGATGCCGCAACCCACAGGGCCAACTTTCTCTCCTTCGTTTGGCATACACCCTCAAGGTGGTTTAGTAGCAACTAGTGGTCCGGTTCATAGAGTCTCAGCCGTACCATCTACAGCAGTGGTTACTACAGTCCCAGTGTCAAGCCAGGCCCAGGTTAGTGTGCAACAGCCTGTTTCAGTGGCTATGCAGCCACTGCAGCAAGCCCCTGGGCCCATGTAGCCTATGCAGTGGATGCCTAAGATACCTTTGATGAGTCCCAAACCCTTCTCTGGTGATAGGAAGAAGGATGAGGACTTAGACACCTGGGTGAAGACTGTGCCTGCTTATGTGAGGCACAAGCTCACCAGGCCACAACAGGAAGTTATAGCGGTTGCCTCCTTTTTAGAGGGGTCAGCAACCCGCTGGTTGAATGGCTTAGTGCAGCAGCAGGGCTACGGTCAAAACTTTGATGCCTGGGCACAGGCCCAGACATTGGAAAAGTTCGTACGGTCCGTGTATAACAGGTGCCATGACCCGCAAGGGGCTCAGAAGGTCACCGGCGCTATCAACAGTCTTTGTTCTCGCAGGTTCAAGAATGTTAGAGAGCTAACGGACACCGTAGAACGTCTACTCGTGGTACCTGGTCTGCGTTTTGACCAGCAGGTTCTCCTGACGGATTACCTAAGGTGCCTACCTGCAGAAGTAAGGACCAAGCTGGTTGATGAGGCCTATGTCGAACAGCACATCTTCGCTACTTTTAGTAAGAAAGCTCTGGACATAGAGGCAAAGTTGGGATCCGCGCATCAGGTATCTCATGATGGTAGGAAGAGACTCCCCCAGGACTGGAAGAAGAAGGGTCAGTTGATGTTCGTTGACCACGATGGTCAAACGACGGAGATTGACGATTTCCCAGACCTT